CTGTTTCAAGTTTTAGTTGCCAATAAAATATACTTGAAGAAATTTTAGAATTTCATTGGAAATTAGCAAAGTGATAAATTTGGCCTTGAACCTTGAAAACCGCGCTGAAATTTTCTTCGTGGCATATTAATGAAGCTCCAAATGAAGTTATTTGAAAACAATAGTTGTATTGACTTACATTTTGTAGAAAATGATTGGAATCTGGTATTTTTCCATTCATATATGCGAATAATTGTGGTGGTGGTACATCTAATGCTGGTAAATTGACTTTACCACTCGAGTAGCACAAACCAGCAGTTCCGTCTTTAAATTTCTTCGCATGACAATAGTCACATATCGTATTCATTTTTCTGGTGACAATATTTGGATGTTCATTGTAGTGTTTTTTGCAATCATAATGGAACGCCTGAAGTTCTAAATTCCCAATTTTACTTGTTACAGCTCTTTTTATGCGTAATGTAGCCATTCTTTCTTTACTTCTTCTATTTTCCACTTTACGTCGATCAGCAGATTGACCATTTCTAAAAGCTCTCATTCGGGATAGCACTTCTTCGTTAATATGTGTCCTTTCTTCTTCGGTTAAAGTTTCACTGATTCTTTTCACTCCTTTACGAATATTCGAAAGCCGTTTTTCTCGTTATTCTTCTGTTTCAGTTCGACGTGCTACGTATTTCTTCTTTTGAATCCACTTGAGGTTTTGTAAATACTTTTTTACGCCTTGGCATTGTCTATATGTAGAGTAATACACAAAATTAATCTTTTAATTGCTATTATGATGACACTGACGAAAAATTACTGATTTTCCTCTAATATAACATCGAATATCGAAATTTCTAATACCAGAACACTCTAGGATATTCAGATAGTTTGTTCTTTTCCACTTGTCAAAATCACTTGAATTTGTTTAGTGTTCATTCTCAATTTCAACTGATCTTCTCTCGACTGCAAACATGATCAAACTGACGAAAAGTCACTTTATTTCCGTTCATATACCATAATACATCGAAATTTTTAGTACCACAACATTCAAGATTATTCCCAACAATGACAGCTTATCTTAAATCGCCTATCGCCTATCAGGTTATTTCATATTAATTTTCAATGTTGATTAATTTATAAATTACTCAATCCTTTGTATTGATGAGTAAAAAGAGCAAGCCTTGAGTTTCTTGCCCATTCTTTTCTAGGTGAATCAATGTTTAGAATGGGTGGTAAACTGGATAAGAAATTATTAATTACATATTTCTAGTGTAATTTCATTACCTACGAAATAAGGATATTTTTGATTTGATTCGATAAAGCATCTCCATCAATTGGTATTTAATTTTTTTATGAAAATAAAAAAAAAGGACCAAGTGCTTATAGGGCCACGCGCGATATAAGGTTCCATAGTTGCACGTCAGTGTACGGACTTGTTTAATATTATGAACCTATCAATTAAGTTCACGGTTTAATGGCTAATAACATCTAAAACGGGTCCACATACAGGACTGGTGTTAAGGATATTGTAAGAGTATCTGCGTACGGACCAGAAGCAGAGCACTTTCGTGCGCGAGATTTCCAATCAAACGGGCGGTAGCGATATACAGTATATTTATTTGTTTATTTCTCAGATATATCCAATCAATACGTATGCCGTCGGTATGATACCAGTCACACTGAATTTCTTTCCTTCCTTTTACTCTCAGGGTCCAAGTCTGTCTTCTTAGACACACCTCGTCTATCTATCTCTTTTATTTCATGGATTGAAGAACATTTCACTATTTGAAATTCACAAATAAAACTAACTGTCACGCAACCAGCACGAAGGCCGGACACCTCGCGTGCGAATTCTTACAATATTACGATTTTATATTTCCATAATCTTACTTGGTTCATGAGTTTGTATTGACTACCTATTTTACACAACCGTCAATGTCATAAAAGTAATTTTCGATGGAAATTGTATGAAATTTTGCTTTTTACTTCTCCAAGTGTATTTTATAATTTAATCGACTATTACTTGTTAACTAGTAAAGCTTACTTAGCTGTGATAGCTTTACTTTTAACTTGGTCACGCTACTGTCGTGTTTTCACATAAGTGTCCGAAAACGACCATTTACCTGGTTCGGGGACACTGGACTCTAATAAAAATAAGCACTTTAAAGCTTAATATTTTGCAAACGGATCCCTGAATTAAAAAATGGTTGTGATGGATCCGCAATGTTTTTGAATGAGCTATCCTAAAATACCTCACACTATTAGATTAAAGAGAAAAAACAATTAATTCCCACTTTACGGAAAGTATCCTACATTTTTTTTTATAATTTTATTTTACCACTTTTTCGGCGTGATTTATATGTATACCAACACCAAATTACAGCTTTATAATACTAAGATTATTTAACCGAAGCCGCGGACAAACTGTTAGACAGATTGAAAGACAGACAAACGGACGGACGGACGAACATGGCGAAACTATAAGGGCTCTTTGTTGCCTACGTAACTCTAAAAAATTACAGATCGTGATGTATTCATAGTTCTTATAATTTTATAATCTCACTGCTACTAAAATAAATAACAAAACAACAGGTGCAACATTCGGCACCGGTGATATGCCGATGCTGAATATCACCGGCACTCATATTCAAACTCGATAAATACTTTCAACCTTTTAAAACTTCACTTAAAACAAACCGACATTTACGTAAGACTGTATTAGTACAAAAAATGCTGGTACACTAACACACAAGTAGCTAAATTAAAATAGCGAGTGTGTAGTGTAAATAGTAGAGAGGGTAGCATTCAAAATAAATGTTAACACGAGAGCTTAGTCGGAACAAAGACAGCCAACAAGACCTGAGGCTGCCCTAATAGCACGTCGTATTGTGTCATCAAAACATGTTTACTCCCTTCCGAGAGCGCCGTTAGCCGTTTCAGGGTGGCTATACGTCTGTTCGGGGCGGCATGATTCGGCATGTCCGGGTGGCACAAACCGAATATGTATGGAAATTGGTCATTCCGAAACAGCCCGAACCATCGGCGATTTGCCGCTCGGGTAACTGGAACGCCATACACACAAATGCAATATGATTCGGCTTTTACGTTCGAACGTATTTATTTTTTATTTAAGTATTTATTATTAAGGATTTCCAACAAGAAATACCCTTATGAGCTATAAAAACATGTTTTGAGTCTATTGAAATGTGCTTTCTTAATTATAGGAAGCCACACCATACAATGATATAAAATTAACAACATCAAGTTATTATTAATTATTAGGGACTTATTACTATTTTAGTATATTATTAAACATTAACTGAAAACTTATTTAATCAACTATAAAATAGTGTATTTTACATTTCAAGATTAACATGGTAATATGTAGCTTAATTTATTGTATGTAGAATGTAGAAGCTCTCATGAAAATGAAAGAACTATCTAGTTAAATTCAAATTGTGGCTCGACGAAGACGTACTGTTGTATGCAGCTTTCCTAATATCTGTTAATAATGCAAAGAAAGCCCCGAATATATTGAGTAAACTAAAAGATACGTTCTATACGTTCCGATAAATTGAATTATTTTGTTTTTTTTTTTTATCACTCCATAGTGACGTCATTTCTTAAGACGATCCAGCGACTTTGTTTTGGCGAGCCGAATACAACACGAGCCATGCCGATCGGCCTCATTCGGGCTGCGTTCGGCACACCTTCACATTTTAAAGTTCTACTTCAAATGCACTTAACTTTGACTTATTTTCTTTGTGTTATAGATCATCTTTGATCGTATAATGCAATATATTTAAAGTTGAAAAGAGCTCCTAACGAATCTTGCTCGTTGTTCTTGAGAGAGAACTGCCTTCGGAACGAGTGGTTAAGTATCAAAATAGCAAAATGTAAATTCTTAAAATACTGTGTCAAGTGTTTGTTATAACCTGTGAAATAATGATATTTTAGAAATTGAAAAAGACACATACTTGTACCCATTGGTGTTTACTGTACGACCAAAAAAAAAATTTTTTTTTATTCTATGCAGCCCGATCGACAGAGTTGTATCGACGCACGCCCACTGATATGTGCGTCATGAGCGGACACTTCGGTACAGTCACGAGAGGAATTCAGCACGGACTGAACCCTCGACCAAGATATCAGGAGACGCAGGAAGCGCACCGGACCGTTGCCCATTAGATTGTAATAAAAGGCGACGTGTGGCGCTGCTGTATAAGTAATGTCCAATGTTTATGCCTCAGTGGAGTTAGCGTCGAATGGCCAACGTGTACTTAAAGCCTGCGTACTTTGAATGCTCTTTTCTTATTGTTTTGAAGATGCTGGCGTCTTTCATAAGAAAGATGACATAAGTTACCAAGCATTCACGAATGTGTCATCCTCATGTCATCCTTAGTTTGTTGTACTCCTTTTTTCTGCAAGTCACTGCGTCGCCGGGACGCCGAGTTATGTCTAAATACGTATTAGTGGATTTGGCCGTTACACTCATAGTCACAAAAAAAAAACTTATATTATTATCGAGGATTGTAGATATTAAGATCAGCCTAACTTAAAAAAAAACAATGGCAATTTTTTATGGCCATAGACGCCAAAGTTAAACAATAATGGTTTTATGTATACTTTGCCATCAACGTTGTAGCACAATGATAGAAATTGAGGTTTTTCTTATGTACTTACAATTTGTTCATTTTCACTTTTGATTAAAGTCAAAAATTGATTCAATTGAATGAAAAGTTCAAATGATTATCTCGTTGGCTCTTTTTTTCACCTTTCGATATGCACAAAAATTAATAAAGAAAGTGTGTGTCAGCTCGGACGCACGCCTAGAGTGTACTCCTTTTAAGTGCGATTATCTTTGAATATGCAATTGGCAAAGAGGTCAAATAAACGCATCTCATAATACTGAAAGTATGTAGGTATGTATTTATTATTGTCAATTATAATTAATAATAGTAATATTAAATATCAATATTTATATATAATAATAACAGATGTAAATAAATAAAAAGAGAAGCTTCCCCGGCAGAGAATCGGTCCCCGGTCTCCCGCGTGACCGGCGGCGATACTGACCACTGTACTACCGAGAATGTTAAAATACAACCAGATAGTCAATGAGTACTGGGAATGAAGATAAAAAAAAAATCATAACGCTTAAGTTAACGCTTGTATTAATTTCACTCCCTATAAAATTTCCAAACTGGGGCCTTATATGAAAATGTATTATTAAGTAGTAAACTCCAAAACCATATTCAGCTTTTTCCCTTTTGATAGTGAATGATTTCTGACTGGGTGAACAAATAACCTTCCCATGGTTACATTAAACGCATGAAAATCTGAAGTTGTGAGTGTTGTGATCTGCTTCGAAGGTTTACACAAATAATTATGATCCAGCTGATGACATGTTAAATATCAAATTCTTGAGATTTGAGAAATGTATGATTTAAGGTGGTCATATGCCTTATACACACAGGGCCCGGTCGCATAGTGGAGCATAGTAGACAGTTCATATCAACTTATACCTTGAGAATACCAGTACATGTAATGATAACTGAGAAAGCTGATTTACAATCTCTGTCCTATCACTACTAAATCTGAAGATAGGAAAAATTTTATTTTCCATTTATGTAGTCACTGCTTTCAATAAAAAGAAAAATAAAAACAAAATGTGCCAAAAATATTCTTTATTCACTTTAAATGATATCCATAATAATTGATTAAAAAGCTTAGTGTACATAAAATATTACATGTAAAATAAAAAATACATATTTAATAAATACAGGAAAATACACCATACCCGTTCAAAAATAAGCAATGCTTTGATTGTGTGAATCATATAATTTCACCTCTATTTCATCTTTCTTCATGTTCAAATCTGGCCTGAAAAAATATTCTCATATCAAAAATATGAAATGTTTCTCAACTTTGCTATAAATAGTACAAAATGTGTTGAAAAATATCTACATAATAATAGACCTATTTATTTCATATGAATTTTAAGAAAACATATGTGGGAATGGAACTAATGTTTTAAATGCTCTCCCTCACGCTCCCTCATGGACTAAACATATCAGTACAATGTCAAGCTGAAGCAGATATAAGGACAGAAGACGATGCGTAGATGATAGGCTAATGAAACGACTGGAAATAACCAAATAAAAAACTATACGACAGTAAAACATGAAGACGACCTATGCTCAAAGACGAGGCCTTAGTTGAACAGATTATTATTGATATAATGTTTTAATATTATTTTTTATGAAATATAACTATTTTAATAAAGAAAATAAAAACTCATTAGTATTACAAATGTCACACAACCTCAGAAATAACATCCATTACAACTGTGAAATATAACATAATACGACTGACTGCCAACAGACTAGCGCCGCTTAGGAGAAATGTTGTACCATAGATACCATGAATACCATCGATCGACTATACCTGCTATTGTGTATATCCTTTTTAAAAATTATGACTTTATTCATCTCAACACCAAATATCATGAAAATACTTTCTTAGAAACAAATATGACTATTTAATGAGCAAAGATATTTAGTTCTTCATTAGGAATGTTGACAGTTTAAATGGTAAGCAGAATTCTCACCATTACTTAAATAGACTTCACGGCAATAGGGCAGCCTCGTTATATTACAATGAAAAAAAAATGTTTTGGGTGTTTTCTATAAAAAATTATAACTATTTCCATAAATCTAGACTCAAGAACTAAATAACATTTTATGAAACAATATGATTAGTTAAACTTTTACAGTGGTAATACATGTTAGTCACACATTTTGCTCCAGTTTAATCTTGTCAAGTGAGACATGCTAAAATCTTCTACTATTAATAAATAAACAATAAATTTATTTCCATATAAAGTACAATACTAACTAATGCCCAAAATTACAATTAAAATATGTACAATATATAAGAATATGAGTACTTACAACTGAAGCGTAACTGTTTGCGGAGGCACTGTAACAATTAAGATAAATAATAATTAAAATGGATAGAAAGGATAGTGTGAATCAAACATACTTTGTCTTACATTGGAAAGAAGTTGTGTAGAATCTTTTAAATCATTTATATTTTATAATTATGGAATACTATTGAAATATGTTTGCATTAGCAAATTGAATAATGTTTAATTTATGACAAACATAATGTAATACATTGTATTTCATAGATGTAGTTTTATGAATTCATTTTAAAATGGAGCATTCCCTGGTTTCACATTTTTAGTCCTTCCTTTTATAGTATTTTTTGTTAAATAATTTAAAGAACACAAGAGTACATTCCAAAACAACAATTATTGTTACAATATACCATATAATAAATGTGCCAATTCATTTAATTATTAATGTGTATAGCAGTAATACTAAAAACAGTCTATTTATAATTATCATTATAATTCCAACTTAGAAAATAGCTTGTAACTGTAACAAAACACTATATTTACAGCAACAAAAAGTTACCTCAAATTAATATTATTCCACAATGTGTTTTCAATTAAAACTTCCTATTGAAAATTCCACAGTCAATGAAACACTTATAATTTTAATACATCTCAGTATACTTGCCATAGCATCTCCAGCATAATAATTACAGTGTAGATAGATACACACTGCATCATACAAACAGTTTATCTTAAACCAATTTATACTTGTAAATATATCTGCGAATCATACTAACCCATATGGGTTTGCTGTGCCTGCATCATTCCAGAAACATCAGAGAAATAAAGCGTTTGTTGAACATAGTCTTTAGACGGATCTATATAAGACGCCTGTACAACATGTGGTGCCACCTGCTGCAAATTAAGTTTAATTTAATATTTTACACATTACTTCAACATAGTTTGAGTACTTTCATCTGACAACATGAACGATTTTTAGTTTATTAAACACCATGGACTACTGGAATGAGATAAATATAATGAGCATCTTTAGCTTGCAAGCTATCATCACTTGGTAATTAAATTATTATAAACTAAGGCATATTTCTTAGAAAGTTAGACAGACTATACATTTTCACATACATTTCACATCTTGCATGTCTATTTTCACTGACATCCATCAATCTTTTCTTGTAAGCTTATCGGTTTCAAGTGCTTAAAATTTGGTCTTTTTTTTTAATATGCTATGATTACGATCTGCATACAATTTTCTATGGCGACCGTCACCGACCTTTCCATCACACACACATTCGCTCAATAAATTAATTTTGTTAATCTACTTCCATTCATCCGTTCCAGATGGCCAAATCACCGCAACACACCTTTTTCTACCGTAGTTACTACATCCTTCAAACCACACCGCTCTCTGACATCACTATTCTTGCATCTATCTTTCAGAGACACTCCACACATATTACGCAGAGATCGCATCTCCAGCGCATTGAATCTACTTTCATTTTTGTTCTGCTATAACTGTCAATACCATACATGAACATAAGTATCAGGACCCCATTATAAATAGTTAAACGCGCTTGTCGTGAGGTACTCTTACTATTCACAATAGCAAGTACCCGGGATAGTGAATAATTAAAATCAGCAGCATGAAAATTATATTAATTTGATTAGTTCTTCAAATTGTCTATTCATGAATTGTATATATACTCAATATTGCACATTAAATACTCTACATTCAGGTTTTTATTACAGAGGACTATTTATCTACAGAGGACTACACGTGGGCAGGAGCCCCAATCAACTTTTTTTACACTACTATTTCCCTTGTTTTTCTCACTAACTAACATTCTATTCTATTTCAAACTTTTAAGAAATTAAATTCAAATGGAACTCACATTTGCGGGACCGAGCATGGAGGCTGGATGCCTTACATGCCATCTAAACCTAACTCGGTTAGGTTTAGGTGGAAATTACGATACACAATGCATTAAGTTGTGCTTTCGACTCTTTCAAACACCATCACCTTAGTCTTGTTAGCCTCGCTAACATTTACTTTCATACCTTTTTTCTTAATAGAATCATGCATTTCAGTTACCATTTGCAGTTCGCACATCAACGGCAGAAGGATTACTTGGTCGTCGGCGTACAAGAAAGCATTTGAGAGACAGCTCATCCATTTTTATTCCACGCTCATGCTTTTTCAGATTATGCAGACAGCCATTCATGAATAGATGGAATAGTTAAGATGAAGCTACACATCCCTATCTGACATCCCTGCAGATGTTAAACCAATCAGTGTATGCCCTGTTTATTCTGACATAAGCACCAGAGCCCCTCTATAGGGATCGCAACGCCTGTATCAAACCGCTACTCGCTCCATGTATGGACAGGGTTCTCCATACATAATTTCTTTTCACTCTATTTTAAGACCTTTCTGGATCTACGAAAATACAGAAAACCTTTTGGCCCTTAGTTAAAAACTTTTCCGCAATGTTTGGCATAGAAAAAACTTTTTCGAAATCCCGCTTATATATTCCAGATGTTATTAACCATTTTTATAATGATTTTCGCATAATTTGCCAACCACGTTGAGAAAGTTTATAAGACGGTAATTTTTGCAAACCTGCTGTGAGCCTATCCTTTTATAGAGGAGAACGTACAATGACGACTTTGCACCAGCCATTAATTACCCTATAGCTTTTCCAAAATTTATTAAAGAGCTACTAGTACTGTAGGCTTGCCACTACACCTGCACTGCCCCTCAACATTTCTGAAAAAATCCTATCATATCCAGCAGCTTTTCAAAATTTCATATGTTTTAATGCTTTCATAATTGTATCCATCGCAATTTCATTTTCATTTTCATCATCAATCATTTAATCAGTTGCAGTAACATTATCATCTGCAACTGTATCCTCACATACCAAAATTCTTTCTAAATCATTCTTCCAGCTCTCTTACACATTGATTTTTCTCATTCCATATCAATTATCGTTCATTATCATCTTCACACATGATAATGTAGCTCTCATTTTTGTATCTCTACATGTACTTTCAGCCTATTTGAACATATCTTCCAACCTATCTTTTCTTTGCATACCAAGGTTAGCCTTTGCAGAGAGTAAATCCAGCCATGCTTTGTATTTTTTCCGAATTAAATTCAGTTAGTTTACGTTA